TGGCAGTGTGGAGTTTGCATGTTCTCCCTGCGTTCGCGTGGGTTTCCTCTGGGTGCTCCGGTTTCCCCCACAGTCTAAAGACATGCGGTACAGGTGAATTGGGTAGACTAAATTGTCCGTAGTGGATAAGTCTGAATGAGTGTGTATGGATGTTTCCCAGAGATGGGTTGCAGCTGGAAGGGCATCTGCTGCATAAAACATGTGCTGGATAAGTTGGTGATTCATTCCGCTGTGGCGAGCCCATATTAATAAAGGGACTAAGCCAACAACAAAATGAATGAATGAATATATATGTATACACTGTATATAAACACTCACACACATACACAGTTTTAATGCAAAAGTTTGGCCTTCCCTGATAATTGTCATAATTACAAGCCAACATTACTGACAACATTTATTTATTCAACAGATGCAATGCAATTTAAGTCTTAACAAAAACAGACAAGTGCAAAAATTTAGACACCCCAACAGAATAATGACATCAATCTTTTGTACAGCCACTTTTTGCTGAAATATCAGCCAGTAGAGGCTTATGATCAAGGATAAGTGCCTGAATACTTGTTGAAAGCATGTTAGGCCATTCATCTCGCAAAATGCCTCTAGTTCAGTCAGGTTTGATGAGTGCAGAGCATGAATGGCCCTTTTCAGATCAATCCATAGATTTTTGATTATGTTCAAGTCTGGGGACTGGGATGGCCATTCTAGAACATAGTATCATGTCTGAGCATGAATTACGTACATGTGATTTTTTTTTAGGTTCTTTAGTTTTAATAAATTTGCAACAATTGCAAAAAAACTCTTTTTTGACATTGTCATTATGGAGTATTGTGTGTAGAATTTTGAAGAAAGAAATGAATTTGATCCGATTTGGAAAAAAGCTGTAACATAAAAAAATGTGGAAAGGGCGAAGCACTATAAATACTTTCTGGATGCACTGTAGATATATAATCTGTTACTGGATTTACTGTGTAAATGATACATGATTGCATGTTTTTTATGAATGTGTGCAAGCAATGACAAGCTCACAATCCATACGCAAACTCATAATGCAAACCGAGTGTCATTACCTGTAGCACTTGCATTTGATGAAGGACTTTGACTAGAGATGGTAGGAGTGGATGGATGAGCTGGAGTATGCCAGAAATGTGAATGAAAGAAAAGTAGGTAAGAGACATGCTTTATTAGTCAGAGCTGTTATATGCTGAATGAGAGCTTGGCCAGTGTTGCCAGATGTAGCTGACCGATTCCAGCCCTAACACCCGATGATAACCAAAAAACACCGCCCAAAATCTGGAGACTATAATATGTTGTGTTCTTGGGAGATTACAACTGTTGTAAGTATATGAAGAGCGAGGTATAGCATCTTTTCGGGAGGTCATAACAGGTTTATAAGTGAAGACCGGGGCTGGCGGGCACGCCGTTGCAAAACCATCCAAATTTTCACTACCTGATTGTCATTTTTTTTACCTGCAAAATCAAATTCAAAATCGCCCAATCTGGCAACACTGACAAAGTCTCTTTTTTAATTATGACAGCTTGGCTAGAAAGTGAGATTGACGAAAGCTGGTTTTGAGAGATTATGTCATCCACTGTCATAATAATGAACCATTTCTCCTATATACCTCCTTATAATTTTAAAATACAGCATTTTGTGTTGAATTTAAATGGGCGTAATACATTTTTCTGTGCATCTCACACGTAAGATCTACTGCGTAATATTGTGTAGAATAGTACATTCTAGATAGCATTTGACTGGATTAAATATCTAATCAAAATCTGCCATGCAGAGTGATGTCATCACAATTGTTTATCCATATTGACAGAACTGAAAGACTGTCCTTTAAAAAAATGGGTTAGGGTTAGGGTTAAAATTTCTAAATGACAATGTTGTCATTGGTTTGGAACACACTTCATGTTAGCAATAAAAAAACGCATTCATAATAAAGCAAAACTAATAATGGTTTCTTAAAGTTAGTAAAATGTAACCACACTTAAGACTTTTTTCTTAATTTCTGTAAAATATATCACTCATTAATTTCCATCTGGGTAAATAGAGGGCATGAATGAGGTTTCTCTGAGAGCAGTTTGTGCCAGAGTTCTTGGAGTCAAGAATGTTTAAAAAAAAAAAAAAAAACTTACAATAAACTATTTTTGTTTTATGATATTTGTGTATATCCTTTTCATCTTGCACTGAATGTACTATGATGTAGATTGAACTGTCTTTCTTGTAATGAGGTGGTGGATTATGAAAATGATGATAATTATGAATATTCAGAGGTCAGGAGAAATTACACTAATTCTCTACTCACCATTAACAGTAACATTGAATGTCTTTGTTGTCTCCTCATTCTTGATGAAAGTTCTAAATGTATATACTCCAGAGTCTGTGCTTCTGGTGTTTGTGATGGTCAGAGATCCAGTCTGATTATCCAGCTTCAGTGTGTTTGTGAATCTCTCATCTTCATATGTAGTATTATATCCAGTCACTTTAGCAATGCGAGTGTTGTTGAACGTCCACGCAAACCCTTCATTTTTCTCTATTTGAAGATCAATGTGTAGAGTGACAGAATCTTCCTCCATTACTGACACTTCAACACCAAACACACCTGCAGAAACAAACACAAAACTTTATTTAACACAAGATGGCTTGTAAATAAGTTTTTACTTTTACATAACTGTTTAAAGTGTTACTAATCTAAACATCAAAACTGGGTTTGAGTATATGGCTTTTGAATATTACAAAAGAAAGTTCAATGTAAATAATTCAATGGAAGACAGTGTTGTTTAAATAGAAATGGGCATAAAGTTATTCAACATACCCCAAAATAAAGAACAGAATTCAAAGGGCTGAGAACATGTTTATCTGGAAATATATATATAAATTGTACATACCAACCAGGTCACATAAGCACACACTAAATAAAATCCACGTGGAAATCATTTTCATCTGGAGAACCCTTTAAATGGTTTTAATTCATACAGTTCGAACTAAACAATTTAATTGTGGCATTACCAAAAGCAGATCTCCTAGAAATGGCTGTATCTAAGCTGTCTTTAGTTAACAGGAGGAGGAGAGTTGTGGTTAAGTGTAGGGGTGTGTGCTTGTGACTGTCAATACATGAGACTTTTTAAAGCAAGTGTTTATTAATCTTTTATGCTGGCTTAACAATTTGTAAGTATTCATTTTTTATAACTTGCATTAACTGGCCGTTTGTGTACCAATTTAAAGCCCCACAAGTCTTGTTTGGATGATTTAAATATTTATGGCAGGGGTGGCACGGTGACTCAGAGCTGCCTCACAGAAACAAGATCTCTGGTTTGATTTCTGATTTATAAGGTGATTTAAAAGTTTTTTTGTTTGTTTATTTGTCTTATTTTTGTTTGTCACAGTTCTGCCTCTTTGGTTGTGTATGTTTTGGCAGAGCTGTGACACTGCTCTGTACTTGTCTTGATTCCTTAGGCACAGTCCCAAATGGTCAATGTGTTTTAGCAGTCAATGCAATTCTTGTTGTATGCATGTGTTCATTAGGTTTACAAGAAGTGTGTATGTTTGATGCACACTTCCACCTAGCCCATATTGAGTTCTAACAGTCAAAACACCAACAAAAGTGTGGATTTGAAGAAAGACTGCAATTGTGCAGAATGGGATTTGAGACTCTGCCTTCGTTAATCAACTTCCAGAAGCGTTCTACATAAAAGGATTCAGATGATAAACTTAATTATTAAAGTCCCTAATATTTGCTTCCTGATGTGCCCTTTAAGTGTGTAAAAAGCTGTTTAAAATTTGGCTTTATGTTAGTGTGTCATACATTTTGGTCTTGTTTATTCTTGACTTAGTGTCTTTTGTCACAGTTGAAGTGTTCTATTCGCGTTCTCTCAGGTCATGCACTTTCAAGTGTTTGTCTTTTAAACTGCATGCTCTCTTGTCCGTGTCTTACAGCCATTTGGGCGCAGCATGCTGTTTGATCTTGTTGCTTTTTTGAGTTTGGCACTAGTGATGGTTTAGTTCTTGAATGAATCAAATTTTGTTGGGGTCTATTGTCAAGCCTCATCTATCTTGTTATTGATTAAATTAGTCCACCTGCTGTTAGTTTTTGGGTTTCTCATCCTGTGTTCTCTGTTCATTGCTGATCCGTCAACGTTCATTTCCTTGCCAGACACCCCAGTGAAGTGAATTTGTTTGTTTGTCTGTGTTCCTCTTTGCAGAAGTTATTGTTGCTTTTCTTTTCTTCATTCATTTTCTTTTCTGCTTAGTCCCTTTATTATTCTGGGGTTGCCTCAGCGGTATGAACCGCCAACTTATCCAGCATATGTTTTACACTGCAAATGCTCTTCCAGCTGCAACCCATCACTGGGAAACACCCATACGCTCTTATTCACATTCATACACTACAGACAATTTGTAGCTTACCAATTTCACCTGTACCGCATGTCTTTGGACTGTGTGGGAAACCAGAGCACCCGGAGGAAACCCACGTGAACACGGGGAGAACTTGCAAACTCCACACAGAAATGCCAACTGACAAAGCCGGGGCTCAAACCAGCAGAATTCTTGCTGTGAAGCAATGGTGCCTCCCACTGCACCACCACGGTGCCTTTCCTTTTCTTTGTGTATTAAATTGAATCATTGCTTTTTATTTTATTTTGCGCTGGTGTATGTACATATCTAATGTTGTTATATTTTCTATACTCAGTTATTATAATTATTCTTTAAAATTAATGTTTTTACTTTTCATCATGTTCATATACCTATATTTGCAAGATTATTCAATTATTAAAAAAGATTCCTCTTGTATCTGCTTTCCTACGCGAAGGCAGGGAGAACATGCAAACTCCACACAGAAATGCCAACTGAGCCGAGGTTCGAACCAGCGACCTTGCTGTGAGGCGACAGCACTACCTACTGCGCCACTGCCTCACCCACAGCCACATATATTGTTGAAATTATAGTTTTAATTGTAACAAAAACAACCAATGAAAAATACAGTACATCAGAAAAAAATGGACAAGCATACAATTTATTTCAAATTCAAATATACAGGCACTCTAGTACAAGGTTTAAGCTTATTAAAACTTTTATTTACAATACTTTGCTCTTAGTCAGATTATGTATGTCATGTTTAAGCACAACAAAGGCATTAAGCAAATTAAAAAGCCAAGATAGAAAACTGGTATTCTAATGGATTGAACCACATTTTTCCAGTTTAAATAAATTTATTTTGTCTAAAATTATTCTTAAAACTACACTTTTGACAAACAAACAATATTACTGCAAAATGCATTCTGACATGTATTAAATGTACCTTTATCTTAATTGTTTGTTCCTAACATTTTAAGAGAAATAAACAAAATTAGTTAACAGGAATAGTTTATTCCTGTTTTAGAATTTCTGATCCATCGTTGAGGGACTGAAGTCTGTCTTATTCGGCTCTTCTGGATTTGATGTCATAAACCAGTACAATGAAAGCGGCCACAGCAGCCAGGCCCATCAGAGCAGTGACGACCAATCTGAGCAAAACTTCAGTGCTTCCACAATCATTATAAAGGGGGACTTCATCTGAAATATGGTTCAATATGACAATATACCTGAGCAAGACATTAAATAAATATAGTAAGTAAATATAGCTCAGTAAATATATTTTACTGTACCTGAACATATACGACAAAGAGCAGAAATGCAGAGGTGTTTGGTCTGGTTACTGATAGTGTTGTTGATCACACAGCTGTAAGTGTTTTTATCCTGATATTCCACCTCCAGAGGAAGAGAAGGACTGCTGAGATCAGACCAAGGTTATTTTGGTTAACAAAACTAAAATTATTGGTCAAAAAACATTTTCGTTGTCTGAAAAAAAATGTAAGTAAATAAAACTAACAACAGTCACTTTAAAAATCAAGCAAAAATAATACTTTTCTAAATTAATAAGCACTCATTCTGTGGCAGAAAATGTGGCCTGCTACAGCTGTTTAAAGAAACCCCAGTAGAGGCGCTATTACAACCAAACACATCAGTTAAGTGCAAAAAAAATATATAAATGGTAAATAATGATGGGGTGGATTTCTGTCTTTAAACCCTTTCCAGCAAGGATTAGCATTTTTTTCTCATTACTTTATTAATATGATTATTTGTCCCTATTTTTTTCTGTCAAAACTCAATTTTCAGGAGCTACCTAGCCAGGTCAAAGAGACCTCTCGAATGGCACTGCAGGGCCTGTTGACTGAAAACAACTGTTTCTATTGTTATTGCTATTTTTGTGTGTTAATTCTGTCTAAAGTGATTTTTCATGCTAGATAGACTTTGTATAAGAATATAGCAGCCAAAATGTTGATTGTACCAGTTTTATAAGATAGCTGAGAGTACCCGAAACAGCTTTAAGTATGAAACAGATTGTTCTCTTATGTGTGTATGCTTTCGAGGGGTCAGCTCTACAGGTCTGAGATCAGCCCTGAATAATCTGTTGGCAGCCTGTCCCAAGACTTGTCTCCATCTCTATCTGGACTCAGATATGACCCTGCATTTACGCATTTATTTGGAATTGTCTATCTTTGCTTTAACCAATCAGAACCGTTTACTTGAGTCAACACTATTTCTGGTTTTCTATAAGAGTATAGTTTCTTTGTTGTTGTATTGTAAATCAGAAGATTGGCCAGCGAGCTCTACGCCAGTGTAAACCCTTCTGCCATAAAAAAGCTAAATAATCTTCAATAAATTATAAGTCTATTAGTCTTATCAGTCCCCAACAATAAACATAAAATAAGTTCTATCTTTTATCTACCTGCCAAAAATGTAAACTAGACATGTTTACCCATTAATTTTTTAACATGAGGATGCTTTCTGAATTCATAACATTTTTTGAATTTTTATTCATTTAATTTGCATTTGTATGGTTTTTGTGATAAAAAAGTAAAATTGAAACTAAAAATATAAAAACTAAAAAGAAATGTGTTAACAAAACAAAAACTAAACTTAATCTAACAAGACAATTAATGAAATGAACTAAACATTAACTAAGTATAGCAAATTAAAAAAGCATTTAAAAATGCTAATTCTGTAATAACCTTTGATCAGACACACTGATGCTGGACAATACACTGTTTCCTTTGTACCAGGAGAGAGTCACACGATTCACATTCAACACCGAACACAGCAGTGAACATTTTAGGCTTGATGAATTTTCTGATGATGAAGAACATTTTGAAATGTCACTGGTAATGACCGGAACTGGAAGTGGAGCTGCAAAACATGAATGACAGACCAAAATAGTCACATTACTACCTTAAAGGCACTTTACTTTTTAGGTGCTAATACACATTTGGTAATAATATTATGGACTGGTTTGGAATAATGTGTATTTTTTGAAAAGGTACCACCATGGTGACAGTTTTTTTATACTGAAAATGGCATCAGCTCATTTTTATCCCCAAACCCAACCATACCCATTAACCTCTTACTGAAAATCTTTACATTTTACTAGCTTTCAGACAAACGTTATTCATTTATTGATTTTCCCTTGGCTTAGTCCTTTTATTCATCAGGGGTCGCCACAGTGGAATAAGACTTATCCAGCATATGTTTTACACAGCAGATGCCCTTCCAGCTTCAACCCAGTACTGGGAAACATATATACACACTCATTCACACACATACACTATGGCCAATTTAGCTTATTCAATTCACCTATACTGCATGTCTTTAGACTGTAGTGGAAACCGGAGCACCTGAGAAAATCCACACCAACATGGGAAGAACATGCAAACTCCACACAGAAATACTAACTCACCCAGCCTGGACTCAAATCAGCGACCTTCTTGCTGTGAAGCAACAGTGCTAACCACTTAGCCACCGTGTCGCCCCAAAATCATTTAATATTATTTAAACAATTATTTTACGTTCTGGGGATCCAATGCCATAAAAAAAAACTCAGGTTATATTTGTAGGCCTAAGTCTTCACAATGTAGCAAGTACATACATAATAAAATCCATGACAAAATCTTTAACCATTTTTATGAAAAACGTATATATTTTTAATGGAAAGTGTAATGTGAGGTCTCTACACAGTAGGCAAATTTGATGCCTTCTATGTTAAAAATGACTAAATTCTGAAGGGATATGCCCCAAACACGCCTTAAAAGCTACTGGTTTTAATGGTTAACAGTTTGTTATTAAATAACAATAAAAATTCTAGTTACTATTTTTGCCAATCTTTTTTGTCTCGATGGAGATGTACTTGCGTAATGCAGACTGAGGATGGCGCCATAATGTTAATAATAGGTTCTGATCGAACGCTCCAGTGCGTCTCGATGTATTGCAGTCTATATTTAAATTACACAATATACTCCTCCAATATACATCTGCTTCTGAAGAAATTAGAGGAAAAATACGTCCGTTTTCGGGAAAAAAAACCCCTCATGTGCACCTTTCCCTTTGCTGTTAAATGTCTCACGAGGTTCACAATTTAGCACACATGAGCTTAAGCAGGGTTTTAGAGGTAAAAAAAAACTGCATGGATAATAAATATGTAATTTGTTTACTTAAACTGTAAAACTAGGCCTGTATCATTTCAATAAGGCTACACCTCTTTTCGAAATATCTAATCATAAAAATGAATTTGTTTACTGATTAGGAAAGTAAGCTATTTAAAAGGCTTTGCTCACCATAAACAGTAACACTGAATGTCTTTGTTGTCTCCTCATCCTTAATGAAAGTTCTAAACGTATATACTCCAGAGTCTGGGCTCCTGGTGTTCATGATGGTCAGAGATCCAGTCTGATGATCCAGCTTCAGTCTGTTTGTGAACTGCCCATATTCAGTAGGAATGTCTCCAGTGACTTTAGCAATCTGAATATTGTTGAACTTCCACGAACACCCTTCTTTTTTCTCTATTTGAAGATCAATGTGTAGAGTGACAGAATCTCCCTCCTTTACTGAGACTTCAACACTAAACACATCTGCAGAACAATAAAGCCATTGAAATTAACTTAACAATCATTTGCCACGTTATTTTTGTATTAACCAGTACATTATTGCTGTGTGATTACAACTAAAACAATATTGTCATTTTAAAAATACCCTAATATTCACCATAGTCTTGTTACCCTATAATTTTGCTTTGTAATAATCAAACTATATTATTACAACTATTGTAATAATAATAATAATATACCCTAATGAAAATTACGTTAGCATACTTACCAACTAGACAACACAAAAAGAAAAAAGGAACAAAAATATATAGGCATAGGCCTAGCATTTTAAAACGTCCGAGAACTGAGAGCGATATTACTTTAAGGTCATTAACATGCTTACATTTTTTTTTGTATGTGTGAGTCTAACACAACGTTTTACACATAGATGCGAACTCCAGCAGTCACTTACAGTAATGAACGGAACTGACTTGAACAGCTCGCAGCAGGGCCAGAATCGCAGCCACAGGACGGAAGTGAAAGGCGGGGTTGATAAGAGTTGATCGACACTTTGACAGCGAAATAAACATGGCGGAGAACATCCGATTTCTGCAACGTTTTCGCTTTTAAAAATTGTTCAAAATTGTATTACATTTTTTGTGTGATGAGTATTTTGTTATAATACTGCTATTTATTATTTTTATTACAATATGGTTTTATTTGCAGGTTTTTAAAGCCTACAGAACAAATATTACTTTAAGCTACCAAGCAAACGAAAGTAGCATCAACAAAATTATCTTTGCCAAACCCATAAAAATCTCTCATACACCATGTCCTGTCTCAAATCTTTGTTTTCAGTTTCTCATTTTGGTAAGCTGAAAATTTTGCTAATCCTTTGCATTCAGCCAAAGTAGTGCACTTGGATCATGCCTGCATTGATGAACCATGCCCTTTGTGGTGGATTTACTGGCTTCAACTCTGGCCACCAGACCCATGAATTAACCTCAACCATCCTATTGGTTCTTTCCTAATAGACTTCCCTGTGATCTGTCAGCTGCAGAAATCTAGCTTGATTTTGGAAAAACAGCACATAGCCATATTGCTGCTAACTTGGCAAATTGCTGCTGCAGTAAACATCAGTGACAGAATGAGGAAAGCTATAGGGAAGAGTATATATATATATATATATATATATATATATATATATATATATATATATATATATATATATATATATATATATATATATATATATATATATATATATATATATATATATATATATATATATATATATATATATATATATATATATATATATATATATATATATATA